TAGGGACATTTCGCTTGAGTTGGCAACGCTGCGAAGACGACTGACAATCGATCCATATGTAGTGGTGGTTGACGTACGAAGATCTTCGGGAAGATTCGTTTCTTCGTTTGAAGTCATTCGTCGACGTCACGAGGCATGACGTCATCTGATAACTTATCAATAAATAAAAATGCTCATTATTTATATCTAATTCGTTCATAAACATTTGCATATGAAAAACTAAAAAACTGCAAAACTGAAATATCAAAAAACTGAATTATCGAAAACTCGAAAACTGAGGAAATAAAAAATTTGAGAAATCGAAAGATCGAATAGAAATCGGAAAATCGGAAACAAAAAAATGAAAAATCGAAAAACCGAGACACCGAAAAATCACACGGGCAAGAAATCTAGAAATCGAAAAATCGGGAAATCAAAAATCAAAATTCGAGAAAGAGAAAATCGAAAAAACGAAAAATAGAGAAATTAAAAAATTGGAAAATCGAGTAATCGAAATGTCGAAAAATAGAAAAACAGAAAAAGTGAAAATTCGAGAAATCGAGAAATTGAAGTTTTGGGAAATCGAAAAGTCTTAAAATCGACAAATCGAGACATCGAAAAACCGTCCTCCCGTGAGATTGATTATCGATAAGAAAATTGATGAATTCGAAAATTGAAAAATCGAGAAAACTTAAATCAAAATCGAAAAATAGAGAAATAAAAAACTGAAAATCGAAAAACCGAAAAATAGAGAATTCGCAAAATTGAAAAATCGAGTAATCGAAATATCGAAAATACGGGAAATTCAAAAATCGAAAAATTGAGAAATCGAAAAATTGAGAATTCGAGAAATCGAAGAATTGAAAATTTGATAAAATCAGAAATTGAAAATTCGAGAAATCGAAAAATTGAAAATTCGAAAAATCGAGAAATGAAAAATTGAAAATTCGAGAAATTGAAAAATTGAAAATTTGGGAGATCCAAAAGTCTTAAAATCGACAAATCGAGACATTGAACAATTGTAATCCCGCGAAATCGAGATATTGAAAAATCAAAACACCGAGAAACTTAAAGTGGAAAAATTGAAAAGACGGAAAAGCTAGAAATCAAAAAATCGAAAACACAAAAAACTGAAAAATCGAACAAATGAAAAATTGAAAAACCGAGGAATCGAAAAATTAAAAATTCCAGAAATTGAAAGTCGAAAAACCGAAAGAGAGAATTCGAGAAATTGAAATTTTTGAATTTCCTGAATTTTCAATTTCTCGATTTTCTGTATTGTCGATTTTTCTATTTTGGGAATTTACAATTTTTCGATTTAGCGAATTTACAATTTCTCGATTTTTCGAATTTTCAATTTCTCGAAATTTTGAATTTTTGAATTTCTACTCGAATTTTCAAATTTTCGATTTCTCGAATTTTCAGTTTCTCGATTGCTCGAATTTTCAATTTCTCGATTTCCCAAATTTACAATTCTTCGGTTTCTCAAATTTTCAATTTCTCGATTTTTCTATTTTTCGACATTTTCTCGAATTCATCATTTTTGATTTCTAGATTTTTTGTCTTTTCCATTTTGATTTCTTCAATTTTTAATTATTCGATTATGCGGTTTTTCAATTTTTCGTTTGTTCGATTTTTCAATTTTTGTGTTTTCGATTTTTCGATTGCTAGATTTTTCGTTTAACCGATTTTTCGATATTTTGATTAACCGATTTTTCGATTTCTCTATTTTTCATTTTATCAATTTTTAGTGTCTCGAATTTTCAATTTTCGATTTCTCGAATCTTCAATTTTCGAATTTCTCGAATTTTCAATTTCTCGATTTCCCGAATTTTAATTTCTCGATATCTCGAATTTTCAATTTTTGAATTTCTTGATTTTCATTTTTAATTTCATTTACAATTTTTCGATTTCTCGAATTTTCAATTCCTCGATTTCTAAAATTTAAAATTTTTCGATGTCTGGTATTTTCAATTTTTGAATTTCTCGGTATCTCGAATTTTCAATTTTTCGATTTCGCGAATTTTCAATTTTTCGATTTTTAGAATTTTCAATTACTCGAAATTTTGAATTTTTGAATTTCTACTCCTCGGATTTTCAGTTTCTCCTTTGCCCGAATTTTCAATTTTTGAATTGCTCGAATTTTCAATTTCTCGATTTCCCAAATTTACAATTCTTCCTTTTCTCGATGTTTCTATTTTTCGTTTTTTCGATTTTCAATTTCTCGAATTTTCAATTTTTCATTTTCCAAGTTTTTTGATTTTTCAATTTTTTTTAAAAAATTGAAAATTCGAGAAATCGGGAAACTGCAAATTCGAGAAATCGAGAAATTAAAAATTCGAAAAATTCAAAAATTCAAAATTCGAGAAATCAAATAATTGTAAATGCGGGAAATCGAGAAATTGAAAATTCTGGAAATTCAAAAATTGAAAATTCGAGAAATCGAAAAATTGTAAATGCGGGAAATTGAAAAATTGAAAATTCGGAAAATTCTAAAATTGAAAATTCGAGAAATTCAAAAATTGAAAAAAAGAAATGGAGAAATTGAAAAATTGAAAATTCGGAAAATCAAAAAATTGAAAAATCAAAAAAATCGAGAAATGAAAAATTAAAAAATCGAAAAATTGAAAAATAGAAAAATCGAGAAGTTGAAAATTCGAGACAACGAAGAATTGTAAATTTGGGAAATCGAAAATTCGGGAAATTCAAAAATTGAAAATTCGAAAAATCGAAAAATTGTAAATGCGGGAAATTGAAAAATTGAAAATTCGGAAAATTCAAAAATTGAAAATTCGAAAAATTCAAAAATTCAAAATTCGAGAAATCGGATAATTGTAAATGCGGGAAATCGAGAAATTGAACATTCGGGAAATTCAAAAATTGAAAATTCGAGAAATCGAAAAATTGTAAATGCGGGAAATTGAAAAATTGAAAATTCGGAAAATTCAAAAATTGAAAATTCGAGAAATTCAAAAATTGAAAAAAAGAGAAATGGAGAAATTCAAAACTCGAGAAATTCAAAAATTGAAAATTCGGAAATTCAAAAAATTGAAAAATCAAAAAAATCGAAAAATGAAAAATTAAAAAATCGAAAAATTGAAAAATAGAAAAATCGAGAAGTAGAAAATTCGAGAAAACGAAGAATTGTAAATTTGGGAAATCGAGAAATTGAAAATTCGAGAAATTAAAAAGTTGAAAATTCGAGAAAACGAAAAATTGAAAATTCGAGCAATCGAAGAACTAAAAATTCGAGAAATCGTAAATTTGAAAATTCGAGTAGAAATTCAAAAATTCACAATTTCGAGAAATTGAAAATTCGAAAAATAGAAAAATTGTAAATTCGCGAAATCGAAAAATCGAAAATACGAGAAATCGAGAAATTAAAAATTCGAGAAATTCAAAAATTGAAAATTCGAGAAATCGGGAAATTGAAAATTCGAGAAATCGAAAAATTGAAAATTCGAGAAATCGAGAAATTAAAAATTCGAGAAATTCAAAAATTCAAAATTCGAAAAATGTAAATACGGAAAATCAAGGAATTCAAAAATTGAAAATTCGAAATATCGAGAAATTAAAAATTCGAGAAATCGAGAAACTAAAAATTCCAGAAATCAAAAATCGAGAAATGGGAAAACTGAAATGCCGAGAAATCGAAATATCGAAAAATCGATAAATCAAATAATCGATGAATTCGAAAATTGAATAATCGAGAAAACTAAATTCGAATTACCGAGAAATCGAAAAGACGAAAAAGCTAGCAATCGAAAAATCGAATACACAAAAAACTGCAAAATCGAACAAACGAAAAATTGAAAAACTGAATAATCGAAAAATTGAGCAATCAAAAACTATGAATTTGTCGAAATATCGAAATGTCGAAAAATAGAAAAATCGAGAAATCGAAAATTCGAGAAAACGAAGAATTGTAAATTTGGGAAATCGAAAACTTGAAAATTCGAGAAATTCAAAAATTGAAAATTCGAGAAAACGAAAAATTGTAAATTCGAGCAATCGAGAAACTGAAAATTCGAAAAATCGAAAATTTTATAATTCGAGAAAAAATTCAAAAATTCAAAATTTCGAGAAATTGAAAATCCGAAAAATCGAAAAATTGTAAATTCGCAAAATCGAAAAATTAAAAATTCGAAAAATTCAAAAATTATAAATTCGCGAAATCGAGAAATTGAAAATTCGAGAAATTCGAAAATTGAAGATTCGAGAAATCGAAAAATTGAAAATTATAAAAATCGAGAAGTCAAAAATTGAAAATTCGAGAAACTGAAAATTGATAAAATGAAAAATAAAAAAATCGAAAAATCGGTTAATCGAAATATAGAAAAATAGAAAAATCGGGAAATTGAAATTCGAGAAATCAAAAAACCTGAAAATTTGAGAAATAGAAAAATTGAAATTTCGAGAAATCGGAAAACCGAAATGTCGAAAAATCCATAAATCAAATAATCGATGAATTCGAAAATTGAATAATCGAGAAAACTAAAATCGAAATACCGAGAAATCGAAAAGACGAAAAATCTAGCAATCGAAAAATCGAAAACACAAAAACTGAAAAATCGAACAAACGAAAAATTGAAAAACCGAATAATCGAAAAATTAAAAATTGAAGAAATCAAAATCGAAAAGACAAATAGTCAAGAAATCGAGAAATTGAGCAATCAAAAATTACGAATTCGAGAAATTGAAAATCGAAAAATTGAGAAACTGAAAATTCGAAAATCGAAAATTTGAAAAGTGGCAATTTGGGAAATCCAAGACTGAAAAATCGGAAAATCGAAAAATTGAAACTTCGAGAAATCGAAAAATGAAAAATCGGGATAATATAGAAAATTTGAACCGACCTAACCTGACCTTGCGCACGAAGACCTTCGGGAAACTTCGTGCCTTTGGTTGAATACATTCGCCTAGTTTGTAGTAACTTTGTTTCTATTTGTCAGTTGTATTCATTAATCAATAATTTGTTTATGAATTTTGTTTGTCCATATTTTGTTGTTAATAAACTGATAATAAATTTACCTGTCATAAATAAATCGTACCTGAATTTGTGTACCCTCCCTGTATCTCCCCAATGCGCATGCGCAGCGCTCCAAAAATACAAAATCAATACAAACATCACTCAAATGTCAACAATTCAAACCCCAAAACCTCAATTTCCAGCAACAAAATGAAACTAACAACAAAACGCTACGGCGTTATGCTTTCCTTCCAATCGACTCTACTCTCGGTGGACTTTTTAATCAACATCTGCTCAGTGTTAGTCCACCACAATAACGGACTCTCGCTTATCCTCTTCATGTAAGTAAACCCCCCTCAAACATCCCATTTAATACGTTTTTTAGCATTCAAACGGCTTGTTTGGTAATATCTCTTGGAACTTTATTCATGACATTTTTTTCGACGTACGCCTTCCAGGTGAGTTGACGCCCACTTAAACAACTAACGACTAATAAATTAATTGTAGGCAGGCCTCATTGGCTTACTCTACGAAAAATTCCACTTAAGCCTGATCGTGTTTTTGTTGTACTTTGTGGCTACAGTCCTCGTACAAATCTGGTCTTTGATTGTACAGTGGGACAACAGTGACCCGGTTTGGTCAAGCGGCCCCCTCTACGCACTCTTCGTTGTACAAAGAAGCCGTAATCACACGCTACTTAGCTCAGCCAAACCTAACCTCACTTTTCAGTCACCCCCATCTTCTACTACTTCTACAAGCGGACTAGTTTACGCATCAGCGACCCCCGACTGTACGAAGACGTCTGGAACGACCGTCGCCCCGAAAATAAATAAACTCTCTTACAAACATCACTTTAATTCATTATTTATAAAGTCATTTTTTTGCAAGTTGGCCAACCCCAAGCCTATATTCCCGCACGTATCTGACACTGTGCTTCTAATCAAGTGGGTGAAGAAAGTCACGTGTTCGGGTTTAAGTGGAATTCAAAAAATCGAAAACATTCAAAATATTAAAAAAATCTAACAAATCCAAGAAACACAAGTAATTAAAAAAAAAATCAAGCAATCCAATAATTTAAAAAATCCAAAGATCCAAAAAAGCCAAATATAACAATACTAAAAAAATTCAAAAAAATCCAATCAATCCAAAAAATAAAAATATCCAAAACCCAAAAAATTCAAAAAAACCCAAGAAATGCAAGAAACCCAAGTAACTCAAAATAGCCAATAATCCAAAAAATCGAACATATCCAGGAAATTAAAAATATCAAAAAGTCCAAGAAACAAAAAACTTAGAAAAATACAAAAATTGGAAAATAAAAAAGGAAAAAATAACAATTATACAAAAAATGGAAATAAATTGAATAAACCGCAAAACTCCAAGAAAATCCAATAAATCCAAAGAAATAAAAAAAATCCAAGAAAAGCCAAGACAATCCAAAAAAAATCCTAAAGAAATACAAAAAAAAAATCCAAAAAAAATAAAATATCCAAAATTCAAGAATTAAAAAACAAATATCCCAAATACAAAATCAAATTTTAAAAACCCTCTCAACGTTTGAGTTCTTAGAGTTTTCAGAGTCCTTTGAGTCTTAACAATCTTTCTAGTAATTCTGAAGTATCCAAAGATAATTAAGACTCAAAGGACTCTGAAAACTCAAAGGACTCAAACGTTGAAAAGATTTTTAAAATTAGACTTTTTGTATTCGGGATATATTTTTTAAATTTTTGCAATTTTTGGGAATATTTTAGATTTTTTGTATTTTTTGGGGATTTTTTTTTTAGATTTTTTGCATTTTTTGGATTTATTTAGATTTCTTTTTGTTTTTTTGGACTTCTTTGGATGTATTGGATTTTTTTGGAGTTTTTGGATTTATTCAATTTATTTCGATTATTTGGATATTTGTTATTTCTTGCTTTTTCATTTTCTGATTTTTGTATTTTATGGATACTTTATATTTTTTGGATTATTGGAATTATTGAATTTCCTGAGTTTTTTGAGTTTCTTGAAATTTACTTTACTTTCCTTTTTAACTTTTTTTGTTTGTTTTTTGAATTCAGGATTTTTTAAGTTTTGCAATTTGCAAAATTTCCCAATTTTTCCGATTTTAAAAAAAAATTTTAATTTTGTATATATTAGTTTTTTCGATAATAATAATAATAATTATTTTATTTCCAGAAAGACAAATACATTTGTATGGAAATCGTCATATTTTTTGGATTGTTCGATTTTTTTGAGAATTTATTTTTGGTGTTTTGGAGGTTTTTTTATGATTTTTGTTTTTTTTGTATGTTTAATTTTTGTATTTTTAAATGTTGTCTTTAGGTTTTTTATTTTGAGGGATTTTTTTCTGATTTTTTTGGGTTTTGTTAGATTTTTTTGGTATTTTGTTGGATTTTTTTTTGGTATTTTCTGTTTTTTATTTTGTTTTTTTCAATTTTTTAAATTTTAATTGGATTTTGTTGGATTTTTTTTATTTTGATGGTTTTTTATTTTGTTGTTTTTTTTAATAATTTTCGGATTTTTTGGGATTTCTTATTTTGGATTTCTTCTGGATTTGTTGGATTTATTTGGGTCTTGTTTTTTTTTAATTTATGGACTTCTTTGGATTTATTAGATTTTCTTGGGGTTTTTAGGTTCATTCCATTTATTTCGATATTTTGGATAGTTATTTTTTCTTTTTTTACAATTTTTGTATTTTTCTGATTTTTTATTTTTTTTTTAGATTTTTGGAATTATTGAATTTCCTGAGTTTTTTGAGTTTCTTGGAATTTACTTTACTTTCCTTTTTAAATTTTTTGTATAATTTTTGTTTTTTCGGATTCAGGATTTTTTAACTTTTGCAATTTTTGGAATTACATATTTGTATTTTTTAAATCTCCCAATTTTTCCGATTTTTAAAAATTTTTGTATTTTGGATATTTGAATTTTTTCGATTTTTTTGGGAATTTATTATTGGTGTTTTGGAGATTTTTTATTTTTGTTTTTTTTTGTATTATTTTTGAATTTTTTTAAATGTTCTTTTTTAGGTTTTTTATTTGTAAGGATTTTTGCTGATATTTTTGGATTTTGTTAGATTTTTTTGGTATTTTGTTGGATTTTTTAATGTCTTGGTATTTTCTGTTTTTTTATTTTTGTGTTTTTTTTTTATTTTTTGAATATTTTTTGGATTTTGGTGCTTTTTTTTATTTTGTGGGTTTTTTATTTTGTTGCTTTTTGGATTTTTTTGAATAATTTTCGGATTCTTTGGGATTTCTTATAATCTCTTTGGATTTCTTCTGGATTTATTGGATTTTCTTGGGGTTTTTACATTTATTCGATTTATTTCGATTTTTTTGGATAGTTATTTTTTGCTTTCTTTCCAAGTTGTGTACTTTTTCTTCCTGAGTTTTTTGAGTTTCTTGATTTTCTTGGATTTTTGTTTTGTTACATTTTGTAATTCATTGATTTTTTGGGTTTTGTTAGATTTTTTTGGTATTTTGTTGGATTTTTTTTTTTTGGTATTTTCTGTTTTTTATTTTGTTTTTTTCAATTTTTTGAATTTTAATTGGATTTTGTTGGATTTTTTTTATTTTGGTGGTTTTTTATTTTGTTGTTTTTTTTAAATAATTTTCGGATTTTTTGGGATTTCTTACGATCTCTTTGGATTTCTTCTGGATTTGTTGGATTTATTTGGGTCTTGTTTTTTTTTTTAATTTGTTGGACTTCTTTGGATTTATTAGATTTTCTTGGGGTTTTTAGGTTCATTCCATTTATTTCGATTTTTTGGATAGTTATTTTTTCCTTTTTTTTACAATTTTTGTATTTTTTTGATTCTTTATTTTTTTTTAGATTTTTGGAATTATTGAATTTCCTGAGTTTTTTGAGTTTCTTGGAATTTACTTTACTTTCCTTTTTAAATTTTTTGTATAATTTTTGTTTTTTCGGATTCAGGATTTTTTAACTTTTGCAATTTTTGGAATTACATATTTGTATTTTTTAAATCTCCCAATTTTTCCGATTTTTAAAAATTTTTGTATTTTGGATATTTGAATTTTTTCGATTTTTTTGGGAATTTATTATTGGTGTTTTGGAGGTTTTTTATTTTTGTTTTTTTTTTGTATTATTTTTGAATTTTTTTAAATGTTCTTTTTTAGGTTTTTTATTTGTAAGGATTTTTGCTGATATTTTTGGATTTTGTTAGATTTTTTTGTTATTGTGTTGGATTTTTTAATTTCTTGGTATTTTATGTTTTTTTTATTTTTTTATTTTTGTGTTTTTTTTAATTTTTTGAATATTTTTTTGGATTTTGGTGCTTTTTTTATTTTGTGGGTTTTTTATTTTGTTGCTTTTTGGATTTTTTTGAATAATTTTCGGATTTTTTGGGATTACTAAATCTCTTTGGATTTCTTCTGGATTTGTTGGATTTATTTGTTTTTTTTTTTTAATTTTTTGGACTTCTTTGGATTTATTGGATTTTCTTGGGGTTTTTACATTTATTCGATTTATTTCAATTTTTTGAATAGTTATTTTTTGCTTTCTTTCCAAGTTTTGTACTTTTTCTTCCTGAGTTTTTTGAGTTTCTTGATTTTCTTGGATTTTTGTTTTGCTACATTTTGTAATTCATTGATTTTTTTAATAAATTTTTTGGATAATTGGAAATATGAGTTTCTTGGGTTTATTGGATTTTACTTTACTTTATCAATTTTTTCGATTTTTTGGATTTAAGATATTTAAATCCAACAAAATACAAAAATTATTATCTTTGGATACTTCAGAATTACTAGAAAGATAGTTAATACTGAAAAGACTCTGAACACTCTAAGAACTCAAACGTTGAGAGGGTTTTTAAAATTTGATTTTTTGTATTTGGGATATTTGTTTTTTAATTCTTGAATTCTGGATATTTTAATTTTTTTTGATTTTTTTTGTTTTTCTTTTGGATTTTTTTTGGATTGTATTGGATTTTTTTTGGATTTCTTTGGATTTATTGGATTTTCTTGGAGTTTTGCGGTTTATTCAATTTATTTCCATTTTTTGTATAATTGTTATTTTTTCCAATTTTTGTATTTTTCTAAGCTTTTTGTTTCTTGGACTTTTTGATATTTTTAATTTTGTATATCCATTGATTTTTCGATGATTTTTAATTTCCTGGATATGTTCGATTTTTTTTATTATTGGCTATTTCGAGTTACTTGGGTTTCTTGCATTTCTTGGGTTTTTTTGGATTTTTTGGAATTTTTTGGATTTTGGATATTTTTATTTTTTGGATTGATTGGATTTTTTTGATTTTTCTTTAGTATTGAAATATTTAGCTTTTTTGGATCTTTGGATTTTTTAAATTATTGGATTGCTTGATTTTTGTTTGAATTACTTGTGTTTCTTGGATTTGTTAGAATTTCTGAATATTTTGGATGTTTTCGATTTTTTGAATTATTGGAATTCTTTAATTCTTTTTCCTGCATTTCTTGGGTTTTTTGGATTTGGATCAGAAAAATTTAATAATCCCAAAAATACAAAAAATACAAAAATTGGAAAATAAAAAAGCAAAAAGTAACAACTATCCAAACAATCGAAATAAATTGAATAAATTTGAAAACCCCAAGAAAATCTAATAAACCCAAAGAAATCCAAAAAAATCCAAGAAAATCGAAAAAAATCCAAAAGAAAAACAAAAAATTAAAATATACAAAATTCAAGAATTAAAAAAAAAATCCGAAAAATTGGAAGAATTCAAAAAATTCAAAAAATTTCAAAGAATTGCAAAAATTAACAAAAATATCCTAAATCCAAAAAATCGAAAAAATTGATAAAGTAAAGTAAAATCCAAGAAACCCAAGAAACTCATATTTCCAATTATCCAAAAAATTTATTAAAAAAATCAATTAATTACAAAATGTAGCAAAACAAAAATCCAAGAAAATCAAGAAACCCAAAAAATTCAGGAAGAAAAAGTACAAAACTTGGAAAGAAAGCAAAAAATAACTATCCAAAAAATCGAAATAAATTGAATAAATGTAAAAACTCCAAGAAAATCCAATAAATCCAAAGAAGTCCAAAAAAATTAAAAAAAAAACAAATAAATCCAACAAACCCAGAAGAAATCCAAAGAGATCATAAGAAATCCCAAAAAATCCAAAAATTATTCAAAAAAATCCAAAAAACAACAAAATAAAAAAAATCACCAAAATCCAATATTCAAAAAATTAAAAAAAATCAAAAATAAAAAAACAGAAAATACCAAAAAATTAAAAAATCCAATAAAATACCAAAAAATCTAACAAAATCCAAAAATATCAGCAAAAATCCTTACAAATAAAAAACCTAAAAAAAACATTTAAAAAAATCAAAAATAATACAAAAAAAAACAAAAATCATAAAAAACCTCCAAAACACCCAAAATAAATTCCCAAAAAAAATCGAAAAAAATTAAAATATCCAAAATTCAAAAATTTTAAAAAATGGGAAAAATTGGGAGATTTAAAACAATGCAAATAGATACAATCCAAAAATTGCAAAACTTAAAAAATTCTGAAGACAAAAAATCAAAAATTATACAAAAAATTTAAAAAGGAAAGTAAAGTAAATTCCAAGAAACTCAAAAAACTCAGGAAATTCCAAAAATCTAAAAAAAAAGTATCAAAAAAATATAAAAATTGTAAAAAAAAGAAAAAAATTACTATCCAAAAAATCGAAATTAGTGGAATGAACCTAAAAACCCCAAGAAAATCCAATAAATCCAAAGAAGTCCAAAAAATTAAAAAAAAAAACAAAAGACCCAAATAAATGCAACAAATCCAGAAGAAATCCTTAGATAAGAGATCCTAAGAAACCCCAAAAAATTTGAAAATTATTCAAAAAAATTAAAAAAAAACAACAAAATAAAAAAAAATCCAACAAAATCCAATAAAAATTCAAAAAATTAAAAAAAAAAACAAAATAAAAAAAAACAAAATACCAAAAAATTAAAAATCGAACAAAATACCAAAAAAATCTAACAAAAGCCAAAAAATCAGAAAAAAATCCTTAAAAATAAAAAACCTAAAAACACATTATAAAATACAAAAATTAAAAATACAAAAAAAATCATAAAAAAAATCTCCAAAACACCAAAAATAAATTCCCCAAAAAATCGAAAAAACTAATATATTCAAAATTCAAAAATTTTTTAAAATCGGAAAAATTGGGAGATTTAAAAAATGCAAATAAGTAATTCAAAAAATTGCAAAACTTAAAAAATCCTGAATGCAAAAAAACAAAAAAAAAATAAAAAGGAAAGTAAAGTAAATTTCAAGAAACTCAAAAAACTCAGGAAATTCAATAATTCCAATAATTCAAAAAATATAAAGTATCCATAAAATACAAAAATCAGAAAATGAAAAAGCAAAAATTAACAAATATCCAAAAAATCCAAATAAATTGAATAAATCCGAAAACCCCAAAAAAATCCAATACATCCAAAGAAGTCCAAAAAAACAAAAAAAAATCTAAATAAATCCAAAAAAATGCAAAAAATCTAAAAAAAATAAAAAAACAAAATCCCAAAAAATACAAAAAATCTAAAATATTCCAAAAAATTGCAAAAATTTAAAAAATATATCCCCAATACAAAAAATCTAATTTTAAAAACCTTTTCTACGTTTGAGTCCTTTGAATTTTCCGAGTCCTTTGAGTCTTAATTATCTTTGGATACTTCAGAATTACTAGAAAGATAGTTAAGACTCAAAGGACTCTGAAAACTCTAAGAACTCAAACGTTGAGAAGGTTTTTAAAATTTGATTTTTTGTATATGGGATATTTGTTTTTTAATTCTTGAATTTTGGATATTGTATTTTTTTGGATTTCTTTGGATTTATTGGATTTTCTTGGACTTTTGCAGTTTATTCAATTAATTTCCATTTTTTGTATAATTGTTATTTTTTCCTTTTTTATTTTCCAATTTTTGTATTTTTCTAAGTTTTTTGTTTCTTGGACTTTTTGATATTTTTAATTTTGTATATCCATTGATTTTTTGATGGTTTTTAATTTCCTGGATATGTTCGATTTTTTGGATTATTGGCTATTTTGAGTTACTTGGGTTTCTTGCATTTCTTGGGTTTTTTGGATTTTTTTGAATTTTTTGGATTTTGGATATTTTTATTTTTTGGATTGTTTGATTTTTGTTTGAATTACTTGTGTTTCTTGGATTTGTTAGATTTTTTGAATATTTTGGATGTTTTCGATTTTTTGAATTATTGCAATTCTTGAATTCTTTTTCCTGCATTTCTTGGGTTTTTTGGATTTTTCGGAAATTTTTGATCAGATCAAAATTGAATTCCACTTAAGCCTGATCGTGTTTTTGTTGTACTTTGTGGCTACAGTCCTCGTACAAATCTGGTCTTTGATTGTACAGTGGGACAACAGTGACCCTGTTTGGTCAAGCAGCCCCCTCTACGCATTCTTCGTTGTACAAAAAAACCGTAATTACACACTACTTAACTCAGTCAAAACCTAACCTCACTTTTCAGTCACCCCCATCTTCTACTACTTCTACAAGCGGACTAGTTTACGCATCAGCGACCGTCTGGAACGACCGCCACCCCGAAAATAAATAAACTCTCTTACAAACATCACTTTAATTCATTACTTATAAAGTCATTTTTTTGCAAGTTGGCCAACCCCAAGCCTATATTCCCGCACGTATCTGACACTATGCTTTTAATCAAGTGGGTGAAGAAAGTCACGTGTTCGGGTTTTTCGCTGTATCTGTCATACTGGTCCAGCGAATCTTGCAACTTCAACGTCAAACTGTCATAATTTTTTTTGACAACGTCGAGAATTTGTTGTTCGCTGGGGGTCGACAAGTTGGCGGAAATCAACCACTGTTCGATTTTCGGCGAAAAGTGCTTGATGATGGCCCGCACGTTGATCAGGCTGTTGTTGAGTTTCAAGGCGGCGTCCTTGTGTTCGCCCTCTGTGGTGGAATAGCGCAGGCCTGTTGGATTACGTTGTGTCAGAAACGCACACCCTAAAGCCACACTTACACTGCTTACACTTACCCATTGAATATAGATTATCGAAAATCTGGTGCATCCGGATTAATTCGTAGTAAAGCTCGTCGTAGCTGCCCGGCGTCGGCAGGAACGTGTCCCCGTACGTGATAAAAAAATTAAAAATGTTGATGATTTTCGTCGACAGCTCTATTATGTTCATTTTTTTCGATAGGTAGTTTTCGTGCTGCAAGAGAAATCGTAAGACTAGAAGTAACGCAGTCCATAGGTTCTTCCAAACGTAGTTCAGTCTGATTCTGCACCGTTTCTGGTAGCAGAGGATGCGCTGGAGGACGCTGATACACAACGTGTACAACTCCAGGGGGAACTTCTTCATCATGTGGCTCAGGAAGAACTCCACCAGGAGATCTACGGTCAAGTTTGACTGGTTTGTTTGGCACTGCGGTGGTTATTACCCAACAACGAACACACTAAAGGTTGCGTCGAGGTGGTCTGGTCCTATTTTAGCAAGTTTTAGCCCCGCTCACCCACCCTTTTTGTCAATTTTTCGATTTTTCGTTTTTCATTTCTTCAATTTTTCGGATTGCAATTTACAAAATCCAAAAATAAACACATTTGTAAAATTCAGTCATTCTAAAAAATCCAGTTAATTCGAAAAACTCAAGAGATCCTCTTCCAAAAGATCGTAAATGTCCAATATATCCAAAAATCCGAAAATAAAATAAGCAAAAAATCGAAAAAAATGAATAAATCCAAAAACATCATTTTTCATTTATTGGATTTTAAAAGTTTTTAGAGTTTTTCGATTTTTCATTTTTTTCCGATTTTTAGTTCTTCGATTTTTAATTTTTCAATTTTTTAACTTTTCGAATCAAAGAATGGAAAAAATACAAAATTGTAAAAGAGAAAAATCAAAAATGAAAAACGAAAAAGTATGAAAGATCTAAAAATTATACATCAAGAACTTGAAAAATTGAAGAAACGTCAAATTGAAAAATGAAGAATTTGAATTGCTCGAAAACTTCCGATAAATCCAAAAAAACCCAAGAAATGCAGGAAAAAGAATTCAAGAAATCCAGTAATTCGAAAAATTCAAAACATCCAAAATATTTAAAAAAAAATAACACATCGAAGAAACACAAGTAATTCAAACAAACATCAAGCCGTCCAATAATTCCAAAAATCCAAAAAAGCCAAACAAATATAATAATACTCAAGAAAAATCCAAAAACACCCAAAAAATGCAAGAAACCCAAGTAACTCAAAATAGCCAGTCATCCAAAAAATCGAAAATATCCAGAAAATTAATAAAACAAAAAAATCAATGAATTTACAAAATTAAAAACATCTAAAGATCCAAGAAACTCAAAAAACTCAGAAAAATTAAATAATCCCAAAAATCCAAAAAACTCAAAAAACTCAGAAAAATTAAATAATCCCAAAAATCCAAAAAATACAAAAATTGGAAAATAAAAAAGCAAAAAATAACTACTATCCAAAAAATCGAAATGAATTGAATAAATCTGAAAACCCCAAGAAAATCTAAGAAACCCAAAGAAATCCAAAAAAAATCCAAGAAAATCGAAAACAATACAAAAAAAATCCAAAAGAAAAACAAAAAATTCAAGAATTAAAACAAATCCGAAAAATTGGAGGAATTGAAAAAATCCAAAAAATTTCAAAGAATTGCAAAAATTAAAAAAAAATTTCTTAAATCCAAAAAATCGAAAAAATTGATAAAGTAAAATCCAATAAACCCAAGAAACTCATATTTCCAATTATACAAATCGAAATAAATTGAATAAATCTAAAAACCCCAAGAAAATCCAACAAATCCAAAGAAGTCCAAAAAATTAAAAAAAAACAAATAAGTCCAACAAATTTAGAAAAAATCCAAAGAGATCCTAAGAAATTCCAAAAAAAATCCGAAAATTTGTTTAAAAAAATTCAAAAAACAACAAAATAAAAAAACCAACAAAATTAAAAAAAAAACACCAAAATCCAATACATATTCAAAAAATTAATTAAAAAACACAAAAATCGAAAAAAAAATTAAAAAACAGAAAATACCAAAAAATTAAAAAATCCAACAAAATACCAAAAAATCTAACGAAATCCAAAAATTAACAAAAATCCTTAAAAATAAAAAACCTAAAAAAACATTAAAAAAATACAAAAATAAAAAATACAAAAAAACAAAAATCATAAAAAAAACTTCCAAAACACCAAATATAAATTCCCAAAAAAAATCGAAAAAAATTAAAATATACAAAATTCAAAAATTTTTTAAAATCGGAAAAATTGGGAGATTTAAAAATTACAAATATGTAAGCCCAAAAATTGCAAAACTTAAAAAATCCTGAATCCAAAAAAGCAAAAATAATACAAAAAATTTAAAAAGAAAAGTAAAGTAAATTCCGAGAAACTCAAAAAACTCAGGAAATTCAATAATTCCAAAAATCTAAAAAAAAATAAAGTATCCTAAATACAAAAATTGTAAAAAAAGCAAAAAATAACAACTATCCAAAAACTCGAAATAAATTGAATAAACCAAAAAACCCAAATAAATCCAACAAATCCAGAAAAAATCCAAAGAGATCATACGAAATCCCAAAAAATCCGAAAATTATTCAAAAAAATCCAAAAAATAAAATAAAAAACCAACAAAATCAAAAAATCCAACAAAATCCAATAAATATTCAAAAAATAAAAAAAAAACACAAAATCAACAAAAAATAAAAAAAACAGAAAATACCAAAAAATTAAAAAATCCAACAAAATACCAAAAAAAAAACAAAATCCAAAAATATCAGCAAAAATCCTTACAAATAAAAAACCAAAAAAAACATTTAAAAAATTCAAAAATATTTAATACAAAAAAAAAACAAAACTCATAAAAAACCTCCAAAACACCAAAAATAAATTCCCCAAAAAATCGAAAAAAATTCAAATATCCAAAATTCAAAAATTTTTAAAAATCGGAAAAATTGGGAGATTTAAAAAAATGCAAATATGTAATTCCAAAAATTGCAAAACTTAAAAAATCCTGAATCCAAAAAATCAAAAATTATACAAAAAATTTAAAAAGGAAAGTAAAGTAAATTCCAAGAAACTCAAAAAACTCAGGAAATTCAATAATTCCAAAAATCTAAAAAAAAAATAAAGTACCAAAAAAATACATTGTAAAAAAAGGAAAAAATAACTATCCAAAAATCGAAATAAATGGAATGAACCTAAAAACCCCAAGAAAATCCAATAAATCCAAAGAAGTCCAAAAAATTAAAAAGAAAAACAAAAGACCCAAATAAATCCAACAAATCCAGAAGAAATCCAAAGAGATCCTAAGAAATCCCGAAAAATCCGAAAATTATTCAAAAAAATAAAAAAAAACAACAAAATAAAAAACCACCAAAATAAAAAAAAAATCCAACAAAATCCAATAAAAATTCAAAAAATTAAAAAATCCAACAAAATACCAGAAAAATCTTACAAAACCCAAAAAAATCAGAAAAAAAATCCTTAAAAATAAAAAACCTAAAAAACATTAAAAAATACAAAAATTAAACATACAAAAAAAACAAAAATCATAAAAAAACCTCCAAAACACCCAAAATAAATTCCCAAAAAATCGAAGAAAAACTAATATCCAAAATTTTTTTTAAATCGGGAAAATTGGGAGATTTAAAAAAAATGGAAATAAGTAATTCAAAAAATTGCAAAACTTAAAAAATCCTGAATCCAAAAAAACTAACAAAAAAAAATTAAAAAGGAAAGTAAATTTCAAGAAACTCAAAAAACTCAGGAAATTCAATAATTCCAATACAAAAAATATAAAGTATCCATAAAATACAAAAATCAGAAAATGAAAAAGCAAAAAATAACAAATATCCGAAAAATCCAAATAAATTGAATAAATCCGAAAACCCCAAAAAAATCCAATATATCCAAAGAAGTCCAAAAAAACAAAAAAAAAATCTAAATAAATCCAAAAAATGCAAAAAGCTAAAAAAAATCCAAAAAAAAATCCCAAAATATTCCAAAAAATTGCAAAAATTTCAAAAATATATCCCGAATACAAAAAATCTAATTTTAAAAACCTTTTCAACGTTTGAGTCCTTTGAGCCTTAATTATCTTTGGATACTTCAGAATGACTAGAAAGATAGTTAAGACTCAAAGGACTCTGAAAACTCTAAGAACTCAGACGTTGAGAAGGTTTTTAAAATTAGATTTTTTGTATTTGGGATATTTATTTTTTAATTCTTGAATTTTGGATATTTTAATTTTTTTGGATTTTTTTTGTTTTTCTTTTGGAGTTTTTTTGGACTGTTTTGGATTTATTGGATTTTCTTGGAGTTTTGCGGTTTATTCAATTTATTTCCATTTTTTGTATAATTGTTATTTTTGCTTTTTTATTTTCCAATTTTCGTATTTTTTTGATAGGTACTTTATATATTTTTTTGGATTTTTAGAACTATTGAATTTTTCAAAGTTTTTTGTGTCTTGGGCTTTTTTTTTTTCATTTTCCAATTTTTGTATTTTCCAAAGTTTTTTGATTCTTGGACTTTTTGATATTTTTAATTTTGTATATTCATTGATTTTTTTATGTTTTTTAATTTCCTGGATATTTTCGATTTTTAGGATTATTGGCTATTTTGAGTTACTTGGGTTTCTTGCATTTCTTGGGTTTTTTTGGATTTTGATATTTTTATTTTTTGGATTGATTGGATTTTTTTGTTATATTTGGCTTTTTTGGATCTTTGGATTTTTTAAATTAATGGATTGCTTGATTTTTGTTTGAATTACTTGTGTTTCTTGGATTTGTTAGATTTTTTGAATATTTTGGATGTTTTCGATTTTTTGAATTATTGGAATTCTTGAATTCTTTTTCCTGCATTTTTTGGGTTTTTTAGATTTTTCGGAAATTTTTTATCAATTCAAAATTGAATTCCACTTAAGCCTGATCGCGTTTTTGTTGTACTTTGTACAACAGTGACCCTGTTTGGTCAAGCAGCCCCCTCTACGCACTCTTCGTTGTACAAAAAAGCCGTAATTACACACTACTGAACTCAGCCAAACCTAACCTCACTTTTCAGTCACCCCCATCTTCTACTACTTCTACAAGCGCACTAGTTTACGCATCAGCGACCCCCGACTGTACGAAAACGCCTGGAACGACCGCCGCCCCGAAAATAAATAAACTCTCTTACAAACATCACTTTAATTCATTACTTATAAAGTCATTTTTTTGCAAGTTGGCCAACCCCAAGCCTATATTCCCGCACGTATCTGACACTATGCTTTTAATCAAGTGGGTGAAGAAAGTCACGTGTTCGGGTTTTTCGCTGTATCTGTCATACTGGTCCAGCGAATCCTGCAACTTCAACGTCAAACTGTCATAATTTTTTTTGACAACGTCGAGAATTTGTTGTTCGCTGGGGGTCGACAAGTTGGCGGAAATCAACCACTGTTCGATTTTCGGCGAAAAGTGCTTGATGATGGCCCGCACGTTGATCAGGCTGTTGTTGAGTTTCAAGGCGGCGTCCTTGTGTTCGCCCTCTGTGGTGGAGTAGCGCAGGCCTATTGGATTACGTTGTGTCAGAAACGCACACCCTAAAGCCACACTTACACTGCTTACACTTACCCATTGAATATAGATTATCGAAAATCTGGTGCATCCGGATTAATTCGTAGTAAAGCTCGTCGTAGCTGCCCGGCGTCGGCAGGAACGTGTCCCCGTACGTGATAAAAAAATTAAAAATGTTGATGATTTTCGTCGACAGCTCTATTATGTTCATTTTTTTCGATAGGTAGTTTTCGTGCTGCAAGAGAAATCGTAAGACTAGAAGTAACGCAGTCCATAGGTTCTTCCAAACGTAGTTCAGTCTGATTCTGCACCGTTTCTGGTAGCAGAGGATGCGCTGGAGCACGCTGATACACAACGTGTACAACTCCAGGGGGAACTTCTTCATCATGTGGCTCAGGAAGAACTCCACCAGGAGATCTACGGTTAAGTTTGACTGGTTTGTTTGACATTGCGGTGGTTATTACCCAACAACGAACACACTAAAGGTTGCGTCGAGGTGGTCTGGTCCGGGGAGACCTTCCTGTGGCGCATCGGTAACTTGTGTAGGCACACTTTAAAGGCTAGACCCACGTCGTGCATCAGCGAGTTCGCGTACTGGTCCTCGGTGATGCAACACAAAATTAGGAAGCACAGCTTCACGGTGTTCGAACCGGCGTCACTCTTGGTGTCTTGCATTACGATCGAACTTTGTAAAATTTTTATTAGACTGTACAAATATAATACAGGGTGTCGCAGAATTGGCACCATTGGCGTGAATGGCATGTTACCCGTCACGAAGTGAACGATAATTCGCATTATTCTTATTATTCAGTCCCATTTTAAGAAGTTTTAGCCCCGCCCACCCACCCTATTTGTCAATTTTTCGGTTTTTCGTTTTTCATTTCTTCAATTTTTCGGATTGCAATTTACAAAATCCGAAAAAACACATTTGTAAAATTCAATAAATCTAAAAAATGCAGTTAATTCGAAAAACTCAAGAAATCCACTTCCAAAAGATCGAAAATATCCAATATATCCAAACATCCGAAAATAAAATAAACAAAAAATTGAATAAATCCAAAAAACTATTTTTCATTTATTGGATTTTAAAAGTTTTTTGAGTTTTTCGATTTTTCATTTTTTCCGATTTTTATAGTTCTCCGATTTTTAATTTTTCAATTTTTCAACTTTTCGAATTAAAGAATGGAAAAAATACAAAATTGTAAAAGAGAAAAATCAAAAATGAAAAACGAAAAAGTATGAAAGATCTAAAAATTATACATCAAGAACTTGAAAAATTGAAGAAACGTAAAATTGAAAAATGTATTGTATTCGGGATATATTTTTTAAATTTTTGCAATTTTTTGGAATATTTTGTATTTTTGAATTTTTTTTTTGATTTTTTTAGATTTTTTCGATTTGTCTGGATTTATTTTGTCTTTTTGGACTTCTTTGGATGTATTGGATTTTTTTGGGGTTTTAGGATTTATTCAGTTTATTTCGATTTTTTGAATAGTTGTTTTGCTTTTTTTTACAATTTTTGTATTTTTTGGATACTTTATTTTTTTTTTTTTTAGATTTTTGGAATCATTTAATTTTTTGAGTTTCTTGGAATTTACTTTACTTTCCTTTTTAAGTTTTTTGTATAATTTTTGATTTTTTGGATTCAGGATTTTTTAAGTTTTGCAATTTTTGGAATTACATATTTGTATGTATTTTGTAAATCTCCCAATATTTCGATTTTTAAAAATTTTTGAATTTTGTATATTTTAATTTTTTTCTTTTTGAGGTTTTTTATTTTTAAGGATTTTTGCTGATTTTTTGGTATTTTGTTAATTTTTAAATATTTTGATTTTTTTTTTATTTTGTGTGTTTTTTTTTAATTTTTTGAATATCTATTGGATTTTGTTGGATTTTTTGTTGGTTTTTTATTTTGTTGTTTTTTTGGATTTTTTTAAATAATTTTCGGATTTTTTGGGGTTTCTTAGGATCTATTTGGATTTTTTTCTGGATTTGTTGGATTAATTTGGGTTTTTTTTTTAATTTTTTGGACTTTGGATTTATTGGATTTTCTTGGAGTTCTTAAGTTTATTCAATCTATTTCGAGTTTTTGGATAGTTGTTATTTTTTGCTTTTTTTACAATTTTTGTAATTTTTGGATACTTTATTTTTTTTAGATTATTGGAATTATTGAATTTCCTGAGTGTTTTGAATTTCTTGGAATTTACTTTACTTTCCTTTTTAAGTTTTTTGTATTATTTTTGATTTTTTGGATTCAGGATGTTTTAAGTTTTGCAATTTTTGGAATTACATATTTGTATTTTTTAAATCTCCCAATTTTTCGATTTTTAAAAATTTTTGAATTTTGTATATTTTATTTTTTTTCGATTATTTTGGGATTTATATTTGGTGTTTTTGAGGTTTTTTATTTTTGTTTTTTTTTTGTATTTTTAATTTTTGTATTTTTTTAATTTAAGGTTTTTTATTTTTAAGGATTTTTGCTGATTTTTTGGATTTCGTTAGATTTTTTGGTATTTTGTTGGATTTTTAAATTTTTTGGTATTTTTTTTTTATTTTGTGTGGTTTTTTTAATTTTTTCAATATCTATTGGATTTTGTTGGATTTTTTTGTTGTTTTTTGGATTTTTTTGAATAATTTTCGGATTTTTTTAGGATTTCTTAGGATCTCTTTGGATTTTTTCTGGATTTGTTGGGATTTATTTGTTTTTTTTTTAATTTTTCGGACTTCTTTGGATTTATTGGATTTTCGTGGGTTTTTTAAGTTTATTCAATTTATTTCGATTTTTTGAATAGTTATTTTTTGCTTTTTTTCCAATTTTTGTATTTTTTGGATACTTTATTTTTTTTAGATTTTTGGAATTATTGAATTTCCTGAGTTTTTTGAGTTTCTTGAGTTTCTTGGATTTTTGTTTTGCTGCATTTTGAAAATTCTTTGATTTTTTTTATAAATTTTTTGGATAATTGGAAATGAGTTTCTTGGGCTTCTTGGATTTTACTTTACTTTGTCAATTTTTTCGATTTTTTGGATTTAGGAGATTTTTTTAATTTTTGCAAGTTTTTGAAATTTTTTGGATTTTTTGAATTCTCCCAATTTTTCGGATTTTTTTTAATTCTTGAATTTTAGATATTTTAATTTTTTTAGATTTTTTTGGGAATTTATTTTTGGTGTTTTGGAGGTTTTTAATTTTTGTTTTTTTTTGTATTTTTTATTTTTGTATTTTTTAATGATTTTTTAGGTTTTTTATTTTCAAGGATTTTTGCTGATTTTTTTGGATTTTGTTAGATTTTTGGTTATTTTGTTGGAAATTTATTAATTTTTTGGTAATTTCTGTTTTTTTAATTTTGTTTTTTTTTATTTTTTGAATATTGGATTTTGTTGGATTTTTTTTTAATTTGTGGATTTTATTATTTTGTTGTTTTTTGGATTTTTTTTGAATAATTTTCGGATTTTTTGGGATTTCTTAGGATATCTTTGGATTTTTTCTGGATTTGTTGGATTTATTTGGGTTTTTTCTTTTAATTTTTTGGACATCTTTGGATTAATTGGATTTATTGGATTTTCTTGGGGTTTATAAGTTTATTTGGATAGCTGTTATTTTTTGCTTTTTTCCAATTTTTGTTTGGATACTTAATTTTTTTAGATTTTTGGAATTATTGAATTTTTTGAGTTTCTTGGATTTTTGTTTTGCTGCATTTTGTAAATTCATTGATTTTTTTACTTTACTTTCGCAATTTTTTCGATTTTTTGGATTTAGGATATTTTTTTTAATTTTTGAATTTTTTGGAATTTTTTGCAGTTGTTCAATTCTTCCAATTTTTCGGATTTTGTTTTAATTCTTGAATTTTGTATATTTTAATTGTTTTGGATTTTTTTGTTTTTCTTTTGGATTTTTTTGGATTTTCTTCGATTTTTTTGGATTTCTTTGGATTTATTGGATTTTCTTTGGGTTTTCAGATTTATTCAATTTATTTCGATTTTTTGGATAGTTGTTATTTTTTGCTTTTTTATTTTCCAATTTTTGAATTTTTTGGATGCTATATTTTTTTGTATTTTTGGAATTAATGAATTTTTTGAGTTTCTTGGATTTTTTGATATATATTATTTGTATGTAACATTGTAAATTCATGATTTTTTGATGTTTTTTAATTTCCTGGATATTTTCGATTTTTTTGGATTATTGGCAATTTTGAGTTACTTGGATTTCTTGCATTTCTTGGGTTTTTTGGATTTTGGATATTTTTATTTTTTGGATTGATTGGATTTTTGGGATTTTTTTACTTCCTGAGCGTTAGCAAAGAAAGTATTTCAGTATTTTTATATGTTTGGCTTTTTTGGATCTTTGGATTTTTTGAATTCTTTTTCCTACATTTCTTGGGGTTTTTGGATTTTTCGGAAGTTTTCGATCAATTCAAATTCTTCATTTTTCAATTTTACGTTTCTTCAATTTTTCAAGTTCTTGATGTATAATTTTTAGATCTTTCATACTTTTTCGTTTTTCATTTTTGATTTTTCTCTTTTACAATTTTGTATTTTTTCCATTCTTTAATTCGAAAAGTTGAAAAATTGAAAAAAAGTAAAGTAAAAATATCAATAAATTTACAAAATGCAGCTAAACAAAAATCCAAGAAACTCAAAAAATTCAATCATTCCAAAAATCTAAAAAAATTAAGTATCCAAAAAATACAAAAATTGGAAAAAAAGCAAAAAATAACAGCTATCCAAAAAATCGAAATAAATTGAAGAAACCTAAAAACCCCAAGAAAATCCAATAAATCCAAAGAAGCCCAAAAAATTAAAAAAAAAAAAAACAAAAAACCCAAATAAATGCAACAAATCCAGAAAAAATCCAAAGAGATCCTAAAATCCCAAAAAATCCAAAAATTTATAAAAAAAAATTAATCAATTTACAAAATGCAGCAAAACAAAAATCCAAGAAACTCAAAAAACTCAGGAAATTCAATAATTCCAAAAAAAACAAAAATTCGAAAAAAGCAAAAAATAACTATCCAAAAAATCGAAATAAATTGGATAAACTTAAAAACCCCAAGAAAATCCAATAAATCCAATTAATCCAAAGATATCCAAAAAATTAAAAGAAAAAACCCAAATAAATCCAACAAATCCAGAAAAAATCCAAAGAGATCCTAGAAATCCCAAAAAATCCCCGAAAAGTATTCAAAAAAATCCAAAAAACAACAAAATAATAAATCCACAAAATAAAAAAAAATTCAACAAAATCCAATATTCAAAAAATAAAAAAAAAATCAAAATAAAAAAATAAAAAAACAGAAAATACCAAAAAATTTAAAAATCCAACAAAATGTCAAAAAATCTAACAAAATCCAAAAAAATCAGCAAAAATCCTTGAAAATAAAAAACCTAAAAAATCATTAAAAAATACAAAAAATTAAAAATACAAAAAAAACAAAAATCATTAAAAAACCTCCAAAATACCAAAAATAAATTCCCAAAAAAATCGAAAAAAAATTAAAATATCCAAAATTCAAGAATTAAAAAAAATCCGAAAAATTGGGAAAATTCAAAAAATACAATTTTAAAAACGTGCAAAAATTAAAAAAATTTCCTAAATCCAAAAAATCGAAAAAATTGATAAAGTAAAGTAAAATCCAAGAAACCCAAAAAACTCATTTCCAATTGTCCAAAAAATGTATAAAAAAAATCAATAAATTTACAAAATGCAGCAAAACAAAAATCTAAGAAACTCAAGAAACCAAAAAACTCAGGAAATTCAATGATTCCAAAAATCTAAAAAAAAAAATAACAAAAAAATACAAAAATTGGAAAACAAGCAAAAAATAACTATCCAAAAAATCGAAATAAATTGAATAAACCCAAAAACCCCAAGAAAATCCAGCAAATCCAAAGAAGTCCAAAAAATTAAAAAAAAAAAAACAAATAAATCCAACAAATCCAGAAAAAATCCAAAGCGATCCTAAGAAATCCTAAAAAAATCCGAAAATTATTCAAAAAAATCCAAAAAACAACAAAATAAAAAACCAACAAAATCCAAAAATTAAAAAAAAAACACAAAATAAAAAAAATACCAAAAAATTTTAAAACCCAACAAAATACCAAAAAATCTAACGAAATCCAAAAAATCAGCAAAAATCCTTGAAAATAAAAAACCTTAAAAAACATTAAAAAAATACAAAAATTAAAAATACAAAAAAAAAACAAAAATAAAAAAACCTCAAAACACCCAATATAAATTCCCAAAAAAATCGAAAAAAATTAAAATATACAAAATTCAAAAAATTTTAAAAATCGAAAAATTGGGAGATTTAAAAAATACAAATATGTAATTCCAAAAATTGCTAAACTTAAAAAATCCTGAATCCAAAAAATCAAAAATAATACAAAAAACTTAAAAAGGAAAGTAAAGTAAATTCCAAGAAACTCAAAAAACTCAGGAAATTCAATAATTCCAATAATCTAAAAAAAAAATAAAGTATCCAAAAAATACAAAAATTGTAAAAAAAGCAAAAAATAACAACTATCCAAAAATTCGAAATTGAATAAATCTAAAAACCCCAAGAAAATCTAATAAATCCAAAGAAGTCCAAAAAATTAAAAAAAAACAAAAAACTCAAATCCAACAAATCCAGGAAAAATCCAAAGCGATCCTAAGAAATCCTAAAAAAATCCGAAAATTATTCAAAAAAATCCAAAAAACAACAAAATAAAAAACCAACAAAATCCACTAGATATCCAAAAATTTAGAAAAAAAAACACAAAATAAAAAAAATACCAAAAAATTTAAAAACCCAACAAAATACCAAAAAATCTAAGAAATCCAAAAAATCAGCAAAAATCCTTAAAAATAAAAAACCTTAAATTAAAAAAAATACAAAAATCGAAAATATAAAAAAAAACAAAAAAAAAACCTCAAAAACACCAAATATAAATCCCAAAAAAATCGAAAAAAATTAAAATATACAAAATTCAAAAATTTTTAAAAATCGAAAAATTGGGAGATTTAAAAAATACAAATATGTAATTCCAAAAATTGCAAAACTTAAAAAATCCTGAATCCAAAAAATCAAAAATAATACAAAAAACTGAAAAAGGAAAATAAAGTAAATTCCAAGAAACTCAAAAAACTCAGGAAATTCAATCATTCCAATAATCTAAAAAAAATAAAGTATCCAAAAAATACAAAAATTGTAAAAAAAGCAAAAAATAACAACTATCCAAAAACTCGAAATAGATTGAATAAACATAAGAACCCCAAGAAAATCCAATAAATCCAAAGTCCAAAAAATTAAAAAAAAAAACAAATAAATCCAACAAATCCAGAAAAAAATCCAAATAGATCCTAAGAAACCCCAAAAAATCCGAAAATTATTTTAAAACATCCAAAAAAACAACAAAATAAAAAACCAACAAAAAAATTCAACTAAATCCAACAGATATTCAAAAAATTAAAAAAAAAACACAAAATCAAAAAAAAAATCAGAATACTTAAAAATCTAACATAATACCAAAAAATCTAACGAAATCCAAAAAATCAGCAAAAATCCTTAAAAATAAAAAACCTTAAATTAAAAAAATACAAAAATTAAAAATATAAAAAAAAACAAATAAAAAAACCCCAAAATCCCAAAATAATCGAAAAAAATTAAAATATACGAAATTCAAAAATTTTTTTAAATCGAAAAATTGGGAGATTTAAAAAATACAAATATGTAATTCCAAAAATTGCAAAACTTAAAAAATCCTGAATCCATAAAATCAAAAATAATACAAAAAACTTAAAAAGGAAAGTAAAGTAAATTCCAAGAAACTCAAAAAACTCAGGAAATTCAATAATTCCAATAATCTAAAAAAAATAAAGTAACCAAAAAATAGAAAACTTGTAAAAAAAAGCAAAAAATAACAACTATCCAAAAATTCGAAATTGAATAAATATAAAAACCCCAAGAAAATCTAATAAATCCAAAGAAGTCCAAAAAAATAAAAAAAAAACAAAAAACCCCAAAAAAATCCAACAAATCCAGAAAAAAATCCAAAGAGATCCTAAGAAATCCCAAAAAATCCGAAAATTATTCAAAAAAAATCCAAAAAACAAAATAAAAAGAATGCAACAAAATTCAATAAATATTCAAAAAATTAAAAGAAAAAACACTCAAAATAAAAAAAATTAATAAAAAAAACAGAAAATACCAAAAAATTAAAAACGCAACAAAATACCAAAAAATCTAACAAAATCCAAAAAAATCAGCAAAAATCCTTAAAAATAAAAAACCTAAAAAAACATTAAAAAATACAAACATAAAAAATAGAAAAAAGCAAAAATCATAAAAAAAAACTCCAAAACACCAAAAATAAATTCCCAAAAAAATCGAAAAAAAATTAAAATATCCAAAATTCAAAATTTTTTTAAAAATTGGAAAAATTGGGAGATTTAAAAAAATGCAAATATGTAATTCCAAAAATTGCAAAACTTAAAAATCTTGAATCCAAAAAATCAAAAACAATACAAAAAATTTAATAAGGAAAGTAAAGTAAATTCCAAGAAACTCAAAAAACTAAACAATTCCAAAAATCTAAAAAAAAATTAAGTATCCAAAAAATACAAAAATTGTAAAAAATAACAACTATTCAAAAAATCGAAATAAACTGAATAAATCCGAAAACCCCAAAAAAATCCAATACATCCACAGAAGTCCAAAAAGACAAAAAAAAAATCTAAATAAATCCAAAAAATCCAAAAAAATCTAAAAAAATCCAAAAAAAATCAAAAAACACAAAATATTCCAAAAAATTGCAAAAATTTAAAAAATATATCCCGAATACAAGAAATCTAATTTTAAAAACCTTTTCAATGTTTGAGTCCTTTGAGTTTAAGATTTTCATAATTTCTAGGAACATTAATTAATTGGGCTATTCTGGAAAATCTGAATATTCTACAAATTTTTAAATTACGAAAATTCCCTAAAATAAAAAAAAAATAAATCTCAAAATTTCAAGTTTGCAGATTTTAAAATTGCAAATGTTTGGAAATTTTTTGCATTTTTTGAATTCTTCCAATTTTTCGGATTTTTTTTTTAATTCTTGAATTTTGGATATTTTATTTTTTTTGTTTTGCGATTTATTCAATTTATTTCGATTTTTTGTATAATTGTTATTTTTTGCTTTTTTATTTTTAATTTTTTGTACAGCTACTTTATATATTTTTTTGGATTTTTGGAATTATTGAATTTTTCAAAGTGTTTTGTTTCTTGGACTTTTTGATATTTTTAAATTTGTATATTCATTGATTTTTTGATGTTTTTTAATTTCCTGGATATTTTCGACTTTTTTGGATTATTGGCTATTTTGAGTTACTTGGGTTTCTTGCATTTCTTGGGCTTTTTGGATTTTGGATATTTTTATTTTTTGGATTGATAGGATTTTTTGGATTTTTTTTAGTATTGTTATATTTGGCTTTTTTGGATCTTTGGATTTTTTAAAATTATTGGATTGCTTGATTTTTGTTTGAATTACCTGTGTTTCTTGGATTTGTTAGATTTTTTAAATATTTTGGATGTTTTCGATTTTTTGAATTATTGGAATGAAAATTGAAAAATCGAAAAACTCAAAGAACGAAAAATGACAATCGAAAAACAAACTTTTAAAATCCAATAAACGAAAAATGATTACTTTGGGTTCATTTGAATTTGTTTGGCTTTTTTGATTCTTTTAAACTTCTAAACTTTTTGGATTTATTAAATGTTTCCGATTTTTTTTTATAATAATTAGTATTTTTTGCTTATTTTATTTTCGGATTTTTGGTTGTTTTGGATATTTTCGATTTTTTGGAAGTGGATTTCTGGCATATCCGAAGACTGATATTTTTATAGCATTTAGAAAATCTGAAACTTCTGGAAGTTTCAAAAATTATAAAAAATAAAATTCGATTTTGGTAAATGACGTATCCTCTGAGAAAAAAAAGGGTGGGTGGGCGCGGCTAAAACTGCTAAAGTAGGACTGAACAATATTAAGAGTAGTCACTGGAACGAAGAATGGGTGGGTGGGCGGGGCTACTGCTTGCCCATAAAACTAGAAGAAAGCTAAATTTAGCCCCGCCCACCTCCTTTCTCCAATTCACTGACTTATCTTATTTTCTATGTTGTAATTCATTAGCAATGGCAACAATTCTGGGACACCCTGTACACTTAAACAATGCTACTACTCACCAGTACTGGAAAAAAATCACCAACAGATTCGACGGTTGCGAATTTAAATTGACCGTAACGTCAGCAGGACTGGAGCCAGGGCTCAGGGTATTGATGGGAGACGGTGGGGAGCTGCCGTCGATCTGCGTGTGGGCCAGCGTGGTGATAAAGTTCCTATTCAAATGGATGGCTTCGTAGAACGCCAACAAGTAAGCGTTATTAGCCCGCATCTGCTGCGTCCTCAACACCCCCTCCTCCGAAATAAAAATATTCCCAACCATCGTCGTGAGCGACGACAACCACGACGTGTGTTGGTTCTCCAACAACTCTCGATTGAACTGGCTGCAGAAATCACAAAGCGAGTTCGTGATGACCTGTCCGTACCCGTTTAAAGCCAACTCATCATCTAAAATCGACAGTTTAACAACGTATGGGTTCGCCGCGTCGTACTTTCGATAATTTACGAGCAGAGTCAGCAAAAGAACAACGTCGTAACCGTGGACTTGACGCGTTTGTGTGTGACAAACGAGTTTCAAAAGACACTCGAAAAGCGACGTGTTTATTACGTATTCGACCAGACTGTTCTCGTTGATGTTGTCGGTCCGCGTGACGAGGATCAACAACAACTTCAAGGACAAGCTCTTCAACACGCTGGCGCTGTCGCCTGCAACACCTCCTTCACTCTACAACCGATTAACTCGTTCGTAAAAATTTACCTTCAAGGAATTTCTGGCACGCCGACAACAACAGCTGCACTTTCTCAGCCGAGTTCTCAAACCCGATTAAAAAAATATCCGACTCGACTTCACTGGATTTCTGGAAAATGGCGTGGATGACGGCGCACAGAGTCTGCATGGAGTACACCACCCGGATGTTGTTCTGGTCACTCAGGGCTTCAATGCAGTTATTGATTAGTAGGTTGAGGTTGGCTTTCGTTAGGAATAGTTGCTCCTGCGACATTTTCTGGATCTCGGTGTCAATGTAAGTGGTCTTCGGTCTAAGGAGGAAGAATTCGTCCCAAAATTGCGAATTCGAAGTCGGGAGGTTGTCTCCTTTGAACAGGGTTTCGTAGATTTGGACGATCTTTTCTCGGAACTGGCGCTTGGGTCCGGAGACAGCCCCCTTCTTGGTGGCCATTTTTGCTAAAAAGGGGCGCGTTTAAGCCGGTTTTGGCAATTCAGGCACTTACAAGCATCGGGAGACTTGTGGAATCGGGTTTTGTGGATTAATTATGCGGCTTTTGATAAATAGAAAACATGACGTTTCATCGGGGGTGACGTTGTTGACAGATGCTCAGGTTGGTAGCGCTGAGTCACAAAGTAGTCACGAAAAATGAGTTATAAATCGAACTTGGGGTAAAATCAGTCTCAGTGATCACTCAAATTGGTCAAAAAACGTTAAACGCTTTGAAGAAATCGCTAGTTCTACGGTACGGGCAGTACGGGTGGTACGGTTTGAAGTTGGCCACGTTACTACCAACCAAATATAAATAAAATACGTCAGATTATGGTTTCTCGGAATTAAAACGCCCAAAAAATTCAACAAATTTACTTTATTCGTCCATTTCGTCGTCTGTTTGTTCTTTTTCTTCATTTTGTCCGTCCAGTCGCTCAAAACCCGTCCCCTTGACCCACCCAGCCCTCAAATCCAACTTGAATGTAGCCAATCTGTGTCCCAAATATTCCAAAATTTTAGCCTGTTCTGGACTCAAAACAGTCCCCTTCTTACACACTTCGTAGTCTTTGATTAACGTTACAACCCCTTTTTCCAACTTTGTCGGCAATCCCAGCTGTCTCAAGTACGGCTCCATTGAATGAGGAAACTTTTTCAGCGGCCCTTCCGACAACTGAATTGTTTTACCAACCGTGCACCCCGAGCGGGCGAAGTCTTCACAACTGTAACTAGAAAACCACTCAAGAACTTCGTCTTTGGGGCTGTCTGTGAAGAGCAGGGCACACTGTCCTTTCAAACACTTAGAGATCTAAAAATCACCCATTAGTTACTATGTTTAGTCAAGGGGGCCACTCACTTTGTGCAAATCGTCCCCCACTTCTTCCTCCTTGTTTCTACCTAGTCCAACCCCGATCACTTTGTTTTTACCGAAGAAAAACCGACTGGGTTTCCACTGCTCTCGGACGTCTTTCATCAACTCGTTCCGCATGTTGCTGAACGTAAAAACGTAAATGCTGGAGTACTTTTCGACGCAATTTCGCACATCTTCGACGATTTTTTGCTTAAGAGCGAGACCTTTTTTGTCGGTTTTGGTCAACGAAACTACAATCAGGTTAAAGAATGGTGCTACGATTAAGCGAAAATACTCACTTTTTTTGTCCCTTTTAGATTTAGGCATTGCGAATTTTAAAATTAACAATCACTCAAGAGTCGTCTTAACCTACAAAATGCACGTGTATTCAACTGCGAAGATAGCCACGAAACGTTGGTACGCCTGCGTTTTCTAGCAACAAAAACAACAATAATCACTAGGAAAAATTCGTCACCAAGCTAAAATGTTTAATTAATGCTTACATTAGAATTGTCGTTGTAATAAAAGTAAATCTTGACTTATTTTTTACACAAAACAGTTTTTTAATGGTCTACCTTCACGCCGGTTTCAAACCCATCCAACTGTCATTCTTGTCATTGTCTGACATAACCTCCATTATATTCTGCGTTATACTTTTACGATTTTTTGCACTTTTTACTATGTTTTTTAGCAAAATTGGCTAAGAACCGCCTCTCTGTCGTTTGTTTTGGTAAAATCGCCCCTCGTCGTCCAGCCAGATCAAACTTATCGCTGCACCAGGACTCCAGTTCATGACAATGTCTTCAGACTCTGAACTCGAAAACTGGATAGACATAGCGAAGCAGTGCAAATATTTAACAGAGAACGACTTGAAAAAGCTGTGCAATATCGTATGCGACATTCTTCTCGAGGAATCGAACGTCCAACCAGTCGCGACTCCAGTGACAGTGTGTGGGGATATCCATGGCCAAGTGAGTAACCCAAAATCGTTAGTGACCCCCATAACTAGTTGTTTTAGTTCTACGATTTGGAGGAGTTGTTCAGACGAGGGGGCCAAGTCCCCGACACTAATTACATTTTTCTGGGGGATTTCGTCGACCGGGGCTACTACAGTCTGGAGACTTTCACCCGCCTGCTCACTCTCAAAGCGGCCTATCCCGATAAAATTACGCTACTGAGGGGCAACCACGAGAGCCGCCAGATCACTCAAGTGTATGGATTTTATGACGAATGTTTGACGAAATACGGGAATGTGAACGCTTGGAAATACTGTTGCTCGGTTTTTGACTTGCTCACAGTCGCGGCGTTAATCGACGAGAAAATTCTATGTGTCCACGGGGGGCTAAGTCCTGATATTAAAACTGTAGACCAGATTCGGACTTTGGAAAGAAACCAGGAGATTCCTCACAAGGGGGCTTTCTGCGATTTGGTGTGGTCAGACCCGGAGGATGTGGAGACATGGTCGTCCAGTCCCAGGGGGGCTGGGTACTTGTTCGGGGCCAAAGTCACTCACGATTTTATGCAGATTAACGCGCTCACGTTGATTTGTAGGGCTCACCAGTTGGTACACGAGGGTTATAAGTACATGTTTGATGATAAGTTGATCACGGTTTGGTCGGCCCCCAATTATTGTTACAGATGTGGCAACATTGCGAGTATTTTAGAATTCCAGACGACGGATAAAGTGGAACCGAAACTCTTCCACGCCGTACCGGACTCAGAAAGGGTGATTCCGAGCAGGACTTTAACTCCTTACTTCTTGTAATGACACAATACGATTATTTGTGAGAGCAATGAATAAAGTTTTTAACAGAAAGGTGGTTTGAATTTGGCGCCGTGTAACACGCATGCGCGCTGCCAACCCAACAACATTCTCTTTCACGACTGTCGTCTGTCAAGTCACGGACCTCATTCGTGTATTTTTGTAAATATTCAGATTATTTACAAGCATCGTTGTTAATTTAAGCCGCAACTATGGTTCAAAAGAAGGTAAAAATGATTGTTGTATTAATAGTGTCTATATTTTTCGTTTTTTGTAACAATAATTAAAACCTAACCTCAAACTTACACTAATTTGCAGCCCAAGAAGAAGACCGGTAAGAAAGTAGCGGCAGCCCCCCTCGCCGTTAAGAAAGTAGAACAAAAAAAAGAGGTGAACCCCCTTTTTGAAAAAAGGAGTCGAAATTTCGGCATCGGTACGTACTTATTGACACAAATTACCCCCATGTGCAATGTGTTGTTGTAGGCCAAGACATCCAGCCCCCTCGCGACTTGTCTCGTTTCGTGCGCTGGCCCAAATACATCCGCATCCAGCGACAAAAAGCCGTCTTACAGAAGCGTCTCAAGGTGCCCCCACCAATCAACCAGTTCCGCCAGACCCTCGATAAGCAAACCGCCACTCAACTTTTCAAAGTTTTGGAGAAATATCGGCCCGAGACTGAGCTCCAAAAGAAGAATAGGTTGAAAGCCGCCGCTGAAAGCAAAGTGGCGAAGAAAGAGGAAGCCCCCCAGAAGCGACCCAACACTCTGCGGGCTGGCACTAACACCGTGACCAAGTTAGTGGAGCAGAAAAAGGCACAGTTGGTGGTGATCGCGCACGACGTGGACCCCATCGAGCTGGTTTTGTTCCTGCCGGCGCTGTGCAGGAAGATGGGGGTCCCCTACTGTATTGTTAAAGGCAAGGCGAGGTTAGGGTTGTTGGTTAGGAGGAAGACGTGCTCGGCGGTCGCTCTGACTAAGGTAGGGTTGTCTGTGTTTTTGTTTGTTTGTAATTAAGTGTGGTTTTTAGATTGAGTCGGGTGATAGGAGCAACCTCACCAAGATTATTGAGGTGGTTAAGACCAACTTCAATGACCGTGCTGACGAAATTAGGCGTCACTGGGGCGGCGGTATTTTGGGGTCGAAGTCGGCTGCCAGGATTGCGAAGATCGAGAGAGCGAAGGCGAAGGAGCTTGCTCAGAAACAAGGTTAATTGGTGTAGCCGGAGCTTAAATAAAGTTTTATAAAGTAAAAAGTTGTTTTATTTGTGTGATAATTGGTTGAATTTTGAACTATGATTTTGAAGTTCGCGCCACGTAAATTGACATTTGTGAAATGTCATTAATAGTGTAACGGTTGTTGTAGATGGCGCTGCAATTTGACGTTTGCTCCAGAAATTTTGGGTCGTCAATTTTTTGAGTATTTGTAAATAATAGGTGAGGTAGGGGCACTAATTAATATATCTTACGTGTGTACAATTCCAGGTGGAACATTCCTGTAGGATAAAATGGCCGGTTGCGTTCCTTGTTTTATCATTCCTTTGTTGCTGTTCATTTTTCACCGATACATCCAACCCATACTTCTAAAGTACTGGAATCCGTGGGAAAATAAGCAGCTGAAAGCGGATTCGCAGGACGTGAAAGACATTAATAAAACTGAGATACAACCTAATCAAAAAATCGTGGAAGAGAAAAAGGACTTGTGAAGAATTTATCAAGTTGTGATATTTATTGTGATGTTTGTGAGGGGTTAGTTGTATGATGGAAGAACATAAAATGCCTTGTAATCTATTAACTATAGTTTTGTAATGACTAATGACTTGAACCCTTGTGTTTGAAGTTCATTTAAATTCCACACCATGTATCACAAGTAAGTATTGTTGGTTGCCGGTGTTTTTCGTGAATATCGTGTGTGTAGAGTTGGTTGCATAAGCTATCTCAATCGAATAATTACGCTTAATGGAACATCAGCACCCACTAAAATAATTGTCCACGAGCATTGATTAAGTACGTACTCTAAACAATGTTCTAAATATAAAAGACATCCAACAAAATCTTAAAAATTTTAAAGAACCTGGGGATCCTAGAAATTGCAGAAATTTGAGGTTTTGTAAAACTCCTAGTGAAAATTCGAAAAAGCCAAAGATTCTAAATCTTGTAAAAATTGCGTGAACTCTTAAAATTCCAAAGACTTTAACGAAAACGAAAATCTTAAAGACCTAAAAATCGTAAAGATCGGAAAAATGCTTTCTTTAATTTTTATAAATCCTAAAAGCACTGAAGCTTGAACACCGAAATTATTATCTTGTAAATCTTGGACACTGTAAAGATTCCATAGATTCCAAAAATTCCAAAAATTTAGACTCTTGAGATTTATAAATTTTAGAAAATCTGAAAAAATTTAGAAAGTGTGGGAAAAATGTGGTGGACCTAGAAATCTTGAAAGTGTTGGAAAAGGTTGAATTTCAAAATTCTGGTATAACTGGAGTCGGATTTTGGAAAAAGTAGAAATTCTGGTCAGTATGTGTACTTCGGAAAATCTGAAAAATTGGGCTAATCTGGAAAAAATTAAAAAAAAACTAAATCTCAAAATTTCAAAAGTTTACAGAATCTTAAGATTGTAGATATTCTAAATATTTGAAAGTTTTAAAATGTTTAAAGACTCTTGGGGCCTAAAAATTCTAAACTTTATAAAATTTCTAGTAATTCTGAAGTATCCAAATTTTCCAAAGATAGTAAGACTCTAAGGACTCTGAAAACTCTAAGTACTCGAACGTTTAAAAGGTTTTTAAAATTTGATTTTTTGGAATATTTTTGATTTTATTTTTTGTTTTTTTTTTCGATTTTGTTGTTTTTTTGGATTTTTTTTTAATTTTTTTTGGAATTGTTTGGATTTTTTTAGCATTTATTTGGATTTTTTTGTTTTTTTTTGAGTTCTTTGGACATATTGGATTTTATGGGGTTTTCGGATTTATTCAATTTATTTCGATTTTTTGGATAGTTGTTATTTTTTGCTTTTTATTTTCCGATTTTTGTATATTTTTTGGATTTTTGAAATTATTGAATTTTGAGTTTTTTTTTAGTTTCTTGGGTTTCTTGGAATTTACTTTACTTTCCTTTTTAAATTTTCTGGATTTTTTTTTTTGATTTTTTGAAATCAGGATTTTTTTTAAGTTTTGCAATTTTTGGAATTATTTGTTTTTTTAAATCTCCCAATTTTTTCGATTAGTGTTTTGGAGGTTTTTTTAATTTTTGTTTCTTTTGATTTTTTTTTGTTTTTTTTTGTGTCTTGCATTTTTTTAATGTTGTTATTTTTAAAGTTTTTAGCTGATTTTTTGGATGTTGTTAGATTTTTTGGTATTTTGTTGGGTTTTTTAGTTTTATTTGGTATTTTCTGCTTTTTTATTTTTTTTTTATTTATTTGGGTTTTTTGATTTTTTTTATTTTTTTGAATTTTTTTTTTTTAGACTTCTTTGGATTTGTTGTATTTTCTTGGGATTTTTAGATTTATTCAATTTATTTCGATTTTTTGGATAGTTGTTATTTTTTGCTTTTGTGCCAATTTTTGTATTTTTTGGAGTATTTTTTTTTTAGATTTTTGGAATTATTGAATTCCCTGAGTTTTTTGAGTTTCTTGAGTTTCTTGGATTTTTGTTTTGTTAAATTTTGTAAATTCATTGTTTTTTTTTATACATTTTTTGAAAAACTTGGAAATATGAGTTTGTTGGGTTTCTTGCATTTTTGGGTTTCTTGGTTTTACTTTATTTTACTTTATCAATTTTTTGGATTTAGGATATTTTTTTAATTTTTGCAATTTTTTGCATTTTTTTAATTCTTCCAATTTTTCGATTTTTTTTAATTCTTGAATTTTGGATATTTTAATTGTTTTTGGATTTTTTTTGTTTGTCTTTCGGATTTTTTTGGATTTCTTTGGTTTTCCGGTTTATTCAATTTACTTTGATTTTTTGTCCAATTGTTATTTTTTGGTTTTTTATTTTCCGATTTTTGTATTTTTTGGTTCCTTTATATTTTTGGGATTTTTGGAATTAGTGAATTTCCTGCTTTTTTTTTAGTTTCTTGGGTTTCTTGGAATTTACTTTACTTTCCTTTTTAAATTTTCTGGATTTTTTTTGATACTTTGGAATCAGGATTTTTTTTAAGTTTTGCAATTTTTGGAATTATTTGTTTTTTTTAAATCTCCCAATTTTTTCGATTTTTTTTAATTTTTGAGTTTTGGATATTTTAATTTTTTTCGATTTTTTTTGGAATTTATTTTTGGTGTTTTGAGGTTTTTTATTTTTGTTTTTTTTTAATTTTTTGTTTTTTTTTGTGTCTTGCATTTTTTAATGTTTTTATTTTTTTTTATTTTGACAGTTTTTAGCTGATTTTTAGGAAGTTGTTAGATTTTTTGGTATTTTGTTCGGTTTTTGGCTTTATTTTCTGTGTTTTTAATTTTTTTGAATAGTTTTTGGATTTATTTGGGTTTTTTGATTTTTTTTATTTTTTTGAATTTTTTTAGACTTCTTTGGATTTATTGGATTTTCTTGGGGTTTTTGGATTTATTCAATTTATTTCGATTTTTTGGATAGTTGTGATTTTTTTGCTTTTGTGCCAATTTTTGTATTTTTTGGAGTGTTTTTTTTTTAGATTTTTGGAAATATTGAGTTTCTTGGATTTCTGTTTTGTTAAATTTTGTAAATTCATTGCTTTTTTTATACATTTTTTTAGAAAATTTGAAAATATGAGTTTGTTGAGTTTCTTGCATTTTTGGTTTTCTTGGTTTTACTTTATTTTACTTTATCAATTTTTTGGATTTTTTGGATTTAGGATATTTTTTTTTATTTTTGCAATTTTTTGCATTTTTTTAATTCTTCCAATTTTTCGATTTTTTTTTAATTCTTGAATTTTGGATATTTTAATTCTTTTTGGATTTTAAAGTCTTTCGGACTTTTTGGATTTCTTTGGTTTTCCGATTTATTCAATTTATTTTGATTTTTTGTCCAATTGTAATTTTTTGCTTCTTTATTTTCAAATTTTTGTATTTTTTGGATACTTTTTTTTTGGATTTTTGGATTTATTGAATTTTTCTGAGTTTTTTGAGTTTCTTGGATTTTGTGATATTTTTAATTTTGTATATTCATTGATTTTTTTTGATGTTTTTTAATTTCCTGGATATTTTCGACTTCTTTGAATTATTTTGCTATTTTGAGTTACTTGGGTTTCTTGCATTGCTTGGGTTTTTTGGATTTTTCGGAAATTTTTGATCAATTCAAAATTGAGGATTTTTCAATTTTACGTTTCTTCAATTTTTCAAGTTCTTGATGTATAATTTTCAGATCTTTCATACTTTTTCGTTTTTCAGTTTTGATTTTTCTGTTTTACAATTTTGTATTTTTTCCAATTCTTTGATTCGAAAAGCTGAAAAATTGAAAAATTAAAAATCGAAGAACTAAAAATCGAAAAACTCAAAAAACCAAAAATGACAATCGAAAAATCAACTTTTAAAATCCAATAAATGAAAAATGATTTTTTTCGATTCATTTGAATTTGTTTGGCTTTTTTAATTCTTTTAAACTTCTGAAGTTTTTGGATTTATTAAATGTTTTCGATTTTTTTATAATAATTAGTATTTTTGCTTATTTTATTTTCGGATTTTTGGTTTTTTTGGATATTTTCGATTTTTGGAAGTGGATTTCTTGAGTTTTTTTAATTTACTGGATTTGTTAGATTTCCCGAATTTTGCAAATTTTGTATAAATTGCAATCCGAAAAATTGAAGAAATGAAAAACGAAAAACTGAAAAATTGAAAAATTATTTGTTCTTTATAATAATCCCATTTATTTATCAGAAACTTGTAAACGAAATAAAATCTAATTGACTAGAAATATCGACAAAGTTGTGTTTGCCTCATTTGACAACGTTGTAAATTATCTTAATGCCTACTATGAGATTGTTCAAAATTTTTTCGGTCGCCCTCTATCGAGTGGTAAATTAAAGAACAGTTTTGTTGCTGTTATGAGGGTATGCATGTTCGCTCCAAACAATAGGATGGGTCCATCTGTATGTGTTTAATCAATGCCATAAGGGACATGAAAACCCATTTTAGAATTTCTGGATTGTCTAAACTGAATCTGAACAAAAATTTTTGAAAATAATCCATTTTACGAGAAGTTATGTAATTAAATTCGACGAATGTAAAATGTAAATATGTATCTTCCTAGGAAAATACTGAAAACCCAGTTACTTTCTGCTAAGAAACGAAATTAATTTGGATGACTCAAAATTCGTCAAATCTGCGCTACTTGGAATAAAGTTTAGAAAGTAATGGACTGATGACAGAAATTTACTAAAGCTGTTTTAGTGATTTTATCTTTATAAATCTAATTTAAAAAATAATGAAATTGGTTTCTTCCGCGTCCTGTCCACTTCGTCGTCGAAAGTACCCAACCACGTGGTCCTTCGTCAAGTACCACCACATGTTGTACCGCCAGCTTCCGGTCCCTGCGCCCACAGAGCCCATAAATCATCCCACCCCGCCGTGGGCGTGCGAACGTCGTCTTCCTCGTATTTCGGCAATTTTGCAATAACCCAGCGGAAGTGTCTGCAGCAAGGCCGTCGTCCGCGCAACCGTCGTTCGCGCCTCACCGTCGAGCTCGAGCCGAAGCCGAGTCGAGCCTGCAGTCCGCCGAGGCCAGCGACCGAGTGAGCACGCCAAGGTTCAAGGATGAGTGGTACCGCTCGCGAAAAACCCGAATCGATCGAATAAACACAGATAAGATAAGTGCCGGTCGAAATGCTCCACTCGTGCACATCCCCTTTGACCCAGTGACGTTGGCGCGCCAGTGAACGATGGTACTAAGCACCCAGCGCGCAGCGGACCATGGCAAGAAGGAAAAAGCTCGTCAAAGTCGTTCTCGGAGTGCTCGTGGGGGTCCTCATCTCGCAGTTCTCTAACCGGGAGCACACGTGCTCGCAGAGCCGGCCGAAGGCGGCGGCGGCGGCGCCGCCGCCCGCCCGCTCCGACGACAACCTCGTCTTCGTGGGGGTCATGACAGCGGCGCAGTACCTGGACACGCGAGCCCGCGCCGTCTACGAGACCTGGGGCCGCAAGCTCCCCGGAAAGGTGGTCTTCTTCAGCTCGGAGGACTCCTACAGCGACCAGGTGCCGCTGGTGGCGCTGCCCGACGTGGACGACTCGTACCCGCCCCAGAAGAAGTCCTTCATGATGCTCAAGTACATGTACGACCACTACATCGACCGCTTCGAGTGGTTCATGCGGGCCGACGACGACGTCTACGTGCGCACGGACCGCCTGGAGGAGCTGCTGCGCTCGGTGGACAGTCGCAAGCCGTGGTTCATCGGGCAGACGGGCCGGGGCACCACGGAGGAGTTCGGGACGTTGTCGCTGGACAGCGACGAGAACTTCTGCATGGGCGGGCCTGGGGTGATCTTCAGCAGGGAGACGTTGAAGAGAATGGCACCGTTCGTGGAGGAGTGTCTGAGTAACCTGTACACCACCCACGAGGACGTGGAGCTGGGGCGCTGCGTCAGGAGGTTTGCGGGAATCTCGTGCACTTGGTCCTACGAGGCGAGTGACTGCGATTGTAAGGCAAGGAAGGTGGAGTTTTTGCTGGGGGTGGGGTTGCGGGGTGAAGTTTCGGTGTTGCATGCGAAGTATGACGGCGCAGCCAAAAATTCAAACGGAAACGGTGGCCATGTTGCTTTTGAACAGGAAATTGACTTAACTAAAACTGGTTTGTTTTTGGGGTTCTATTTTTGAAATTGCACTCGTCATGCTCTTTTGGTTTTTGTTACATAATGGACTATTTTAAGAGTATTTATGGTTTATTGTAGTTGTTGATAGGAATCATTACGAAATTAGTGTGTATTTCAAAATTTGATATTTAAACAACGTGCATGGTTGCACACTGAATTTACGTTGATTGAGATGAATAATGGGTCATTCTATGTAACAAATGTGTGGCCCCATTTTTATATACTACTCACTTTGTCTTCAAAATTGGCTTTCACCGCATAACGGTCGTAGTAGCTGTTCAAATTAACACATCTTTTATTAATTTAATCAGAAATGAGCTCATTTTACGTTTTATTGGAAAAACACAGGCAAGGACGCAAAAATTTCGGACCTCAATATTTTATAATTTTAAACGAATTTTTTCTCATAAAATCTGAACGTGCTCGCTGCGCTCGCATTCTAAACGTTCGTTTTTTTCTTAATTTAGAGTCATGAAAACATTTATCTTCCAACGTGTTATATTTCATGTTATATTTCTGATGAGAAGTTTACAGAAGCTCAAAACATTATGATCTAATATTTTTAGACCGAAATATTAACTATGCGAATTACAAAATGTGTAAAAACCGTTCTTCCTTTTATAAAAAATCTTCAAGATTTTTTATTTTTTTAAGGATTCTTAGAATATGTACTCGGATTTATCACAGTTGTAAGAGGGTGGTTGGGCGGGGCTAGTATTTGCTAAGATAAAACTGATATTGCCAAATAACATACCCTCTAAGAAAATGAAGGGTAGAGAATATATCATTTGCCAAAATCAGTTTTATCTTCGCAAGTATTGGCCCCGCCCACCCACCCTTTATTTTCTTCGATTGTATGCCATTTGACAGTCAGTTTTATCTTGGTAAATATTAGCCCCGCCCACCCACCCTCTCTTTTCTTAGAGGATGTCTGATTTGCCAAAATCAATCTTATTTTGACAAGTACTCTAAGAAAATGAAGGGTAGAGAGTACATCATTTGCCAAAATCAGTTTTATCTTTCGCAAGTATTGGCCCCGCCCACCCACCCTTTATTTTCTTCGAATGTATGCCATTTGACAGTCAGTTTTATCTTGGTAAATATTAGCCCCGCCCACCCACCCTCTCTTCTCTTAGAGGATATCTGATTTGCCAAAATCAATCTTATTTTGGCAAGTACTAACCCCGCCCACCCGCCCTTTATTTTCTTATAGGGCTAGTACTTCCTAAGACGAGACTACTTTTAGCAAGTGACATCCTATAAGAAAAGAGAGGGTGGGTGGGTGGAGCTAGTACCTGCTAAGATGCTAGAAGCTCCAAAGCACTTTCAAATTCTTTTCAAGCAGGAATACCTAGAATCTCAAGATTGTTTGAAATTAAAAAAAAAGAGTTAATCCGTCATTTTCCAGATACCCGATATATATTTCTAAAAGATCCAAATTAAGTCCACAGTATTTAAAAATTTTGACTTGATACTTTCAACAACGTGATATTTTTCAAGGTACTTTTTGTTAATTCATGTTATATTTCTGATGAGAAATAAGTGTTCATCTTTCATCCGTTCACAGAAGGTTAAAAAAATGTTTATCTAATATTTTGAAATTGAAAAATTTGTAAAAAACGTTCTTCCTTTTCGAAATCGTTAAGATTTTAGATTTTCTAACGATTTTTAGAATGATGAGCTTTAGACCAATTGTAGGAAAATGATAACAAAATTCCTAGGGTATTCATGTATTTTTAAAACCGCCTGATTTTATATATTTCCAAAAAAAAGTCAAAACCAAGCCCACAGTATTTAAAAATTTTGAGATGATGGTCTTAGCAAGTGATATTTTCCAGTGTACTTTTTTTTAAATCGTGTTATATTTCTGACGAGAAATAAGTGTTCATCTTTGATCCGTTTACAGAAGTTCAAAAAAATTGAGCTAATATTTTTAGATCGAAATATTAACTATGCGAATTACAAAATTTGTAAAAACCGTTCTTCCTTTTCGAAATCTTCAAGATTTTTTATTTTTCAAGGATTTTTAGAATATGTACTCGGTTTTATCACAATTGTACGAAAATAACAACAAAATTCCAAGGATATTGACGTATTTTTGAAACAGGATAATATACCGGGTGTGTGGAAAATGGCGGATTAACTCTTCAGAACGTTATGTACGGGAATTTTGGGAGTCCCAAAAAATAATTAAACAATTCTTTATGGTGTACATTACGAAAAAAACGTAATTTTAAATTAAAAGTAAAATTGGCAACACTGCACGCACCTAATGCGTAAATACCTCCGGTTTACTTTCCGATTTCTTAGTAATGATGGTGACCGAAATCCACCTTTTTTTTTTTGGGACAATAACCATAACAAACAGTCATTAATCTCTCGTAGTGTCTCCAAATTTTGATAATTTTTTCTAAATGTTAGTCATCAGCACTTGCTAAGATAAACCTGATATTGCCAAATGGCATACCCTCGAAGAAAATAAAGGGTAGGTGGGCGGGGCCAATACTTGCCAAGATAAGACTGATTTTGGCAAATGAGATACGCTGTAAGAGAAGAGAGGGTGGGTGGGCGGGGCTAATATTTGCTAAGATAAAACTGATATTGCCAAATCTCATTTTCTAAGAAAGTGAAGGGTGGAGAGTATATCATTTGCCAAAATCAGTTTTATCTTCGCAAGTATTGGCCCCGCCCACCCACCCGTTATTTTCTTCCAGGGTATGCCATTTGGCAGTCAGTTTTATCTTGGTAAATATTAGCCCCGCCCACCCACCCTCTCTTCTCTTAGAGGATAACTCATTTGCCAAAATTAATCTTATTTTGGCAAATATTTGCCCCGCCCACCCGCCCTTTATTTTCTTATAGGGCTAGTACTTCCTAAGACAAGACTACTTTTAGCAAATGACAAATACTATAAGAAAAGAGAGGGTGGGTGGGTGGGGCTACTACCTGCTAAGATAAGACTGCTTTTAGCAAATGACATATCATATAAGAAATTTAATTACATTACTATCAGAAAAGACACTAGAGGCTCCAAAGCACTTTCAAATTCTTTTCAAGCAGTAATACCTAGAATCTCAAGTTTGTTTGAAATTAAAAAAAAAGAGTTAATCCGTCATTTTCCAGACACCCAATATATATTTCTTAAAAATCCAAATCAAATCCTCAGTATTTAAAAATTTTGACTTGATATTCTTAACAAGTGATATTTTCCGACGTACTTTTTTTTTTAATTCATCTTATATGTCTGATAAGAAATAAGTGTTCATTTTTCATCGGTTTACAAAATTCAAGAAATGTTCATCTAAAATTTTTAGATCGAAATGTTAACTATGTGATTTACAGAATATTTAAAAAATTTCCTTCAAGATTTTTGATTTTTACTTCCCGAGCGTAAGCTAAGGAGTTATAGTAATCGAGTCCATCGGACGAATTGCCACTTTTATGTTTTCTTGACGTTTCATGATCCGTTCGATTGTGGTTTAATCAGTAATTTTAGCCTTCTGTTTTGAGAAGACAAACTCATTCAAATCAATTGAGAAATATGTATTTTGCAATTACGCTCCGCCCTTCGGTCTAACAACGAATGAAAAATTCATCACAATTGACATCGGGGGGGTTGGTGATGCTTAATTTTTGTTTTTTTAATATACAGAATTTTCTTTCAAAAACAAGATAGTTAAATATGTTTTCAGTTTCTTGTTGGGAAAAGAAGACTTCGTATATTAAGAAAACATGGACAAAGTATAAGCTCCGCCCACCCACCCCTTCTCCATTGTGATGAATATTTTATTCATCGTGAGCTCAGGGGCGGAGTTTAATTGCAAAATCCTGATTTCCCTACAAGAAATTACCATATGAAATATGTTTTTAAAAAGGTAGAATTTTTCAAAAAAATATTGATGTTACAATTAAACTCCGCCCCTCGTCTGATTATGAATGAAAAACTCATCGCAATTGAGATCGGGGCGGGTGGGTGGGGCTTAATCTTCGTGTTTTTTTTTCTTTATATTCATAGTTTTTTCAACAATTTTTTGCCGCAAAGAACAAGAAATATTATTATAAAAAACAAAGTCAATCTATTATTCAATAATTTTGGACTGTGCTTCTAATGTAAGTCACGTAGAATAACTTGTACTTTCTCGTTTTTCTCGAAAAATTGAAGAAATGAAAAAGTGAAAAATCTAAAAATTGAAACGTCCAAAAGAAGTGGAAAATCTAAAAATGAAAACTCGAAGAGATATCGTAAAATTAACGAAGAAAAAACCGAAAAATTGAAAAATTGCAAATTGAAAAACTGACGAAACGAAAAATTGAAAACTCGTTAGCGATTTTTCAAATGCTTTAAAACAATTGTAGGAAAAATGACAACCATGGCAATTACAAAATTTGTACAAAAACGTTCTTCTTTTTCGAAATCGTCAAGATTTTTAATTTTTCAACGATTTTTAGAATATTTAGCTTTATAGCAAATGAGAACAAAAATCCACTATATGTAAATTTGCCTACAAAATTAGCTTTTACCGACATCTCAACTACTAAGTGACCATTGATCAAGAGGCCAATGTGCGACCTTTCGGAAGCATGCAGTGCTCGAATTGAATAACTCATCTTTTAATATTAATTTAGCCAGAAATGAGCTCATTTTAATGCGGTTTTTTAATAGACCGGCTTATAACCATAAATATTGTTTTACTAGACGTCTGTCTTTCTTGACAGCTACGTTCAGTTTTATAGTAGTAAAATTTTGGTTGAATTTTTGTAAAAATGCCGCTCCATGTAAACACTCCACAGTACACAGAATTGGGAGTCATTCATGGTATTATCTACCGCATG